CGTGTTTCCGGATTTAAAAAAAAAATATGTTTAAGGGGTGTTTAACCCCCTCGAAACCACCTCCGTCAAACTATCAGCAGGTTAATCCACCTATCCCTGAGATAAACAAGTTTAGTCGTTTGTAATTTCTTGAAATAATTTAATCCTATGCATGAGCGAGCTACCTCAACTAACCAACCTGCCTCTAACCCACCAAACCCCCATAAACAACCCTTACCGAACCACATGCAGGCTAACCCATCTAATCCTGGGAAAAGCAACTTTAGTCATTTGTTATTTCTTGAAGTAATTGAATTTTACACCATAAGCGAGTTATCCCAGCTGAATCACATACCTCTTATCCACCTATCTAACCCCAACCCTTATAAACCACCCTTACCGAACCACATGCGGGCTAACCTTATATAAATAGCGAAAAATAAATGTATTTCTTGAATAAGATTCATGTTGCATAACAATGTGTACCAAGTATTACAAATTTTATGTAATAATTATTATTTTCTTTTCATTATAAATACAAAAAAGATAAAAATAATTAATAACGACTTATAAATATAAGATTTGAGACTAAAATAAATTATAAATAATTATTAACTATTTTGTTTTTTCGATATTAATAATAACAGTTATAGTATCAGTTTTTTTAAAAATATTATTCGCATTGTATTACATATAGCTGTGTATAAAAGAGTAATAATAATAGTTATTATTTTTTCAACGTAAAGTTAATTCGTAATAAAGAAAAATGACAATTAATAGCAGTTAAAAATTATTAATTTCAAAATTGAAAGTTTAATATAGTTATTATTTCTTTTTTAATCATTTACAATTTGTCAATGAGAAAAGAAATTAGAACAAATAATTGATTATATTAATAGTTATAAATTGTTATATTAGTCTCAATTCCTATACTTATAAACTGTTTACTTTTTTCAATTTTCACTTGTGGTTTAGTTTACTTTTTGTTGGTACTTTACTTTGCTGTACACTTTATCTTATTTACAATTTTATCTTATCAATGGCTCGAAGAAGATAAGTTATATCAAATCTACGCCCCTTACGATAATAAGATATCCGATACATATGTCATTATTCATAGTAGTTGAAGAAAAGTTAAGTATTTAAAAAGTTGAAGTTTTTTTATAGTGCTGGATTTATAAATAAACTTATTTCTATATTTACATACAAATTTCCCGAATACAAAAATATAGTACATAACAAGAAGAAAAGTTTTTGTCTACTACGTAAGTATTTATGTCACTTATCATATATAATTTTATTGAAATATTTTGATTTGTAAACATGTGAAATATAACTGTCAAAAACATATGATCGAATTCAATCTATAGACTAGGTTTTCTTTTGTCTTTTGTAAAATTATTCAACTGCAAAAAAGAGTATTTATATCTTGATTTTGTTTTAGATTAAAACATGAAGATCAATCCTTTGAACGTAGTCAATTTATTATTAGCATATTTTCAAAGTTTACAAATACCAGATAGCGAGATTAATTTTGAAGAAATTAAATTGTCAGAAAAGTTAAAAGAAATATTAATAGATACCGTGTATGAGTTTAATGATATTGATATGATTGTTGAAGAGACGTTAGATTTTCATGAAGATTATAAAGACATACGAAAATGGGTATTTCAACTCAAAAAATTGTTGGCCATGAAGATATACGAGTAAGATTTAAGGCTTCTCAAAATTGGTTACTAAAATTTAAAAAAGCTCTTAGAATAGTATCTAGAAAAATAAAATTTATCACCAAAAAAACATTAGAAAGTAAAGAAGAACTACAAATTAATGCTGATGCTTTTGTAGCTGATGTTAAATCATGTATACCAGAAATCGGTATTGCAAACTTTTATAATTCAGATCAGAGTGATTTCCAATTAGAAATGCACTCGGAAAGAACATTAGCAGTTGAAGGAGAAAAGCAGGTGCAATGTCTGGCACAATCGGTTTCATCGACAACGCAGAGTTATACAATTCAGCCAATTATATCAGCAACCTGGAAACTTTTATCACCACTTTTTATAGTATTAAAAGAAAAAAGTGGTCAATTCGGTCCCATAGTGGAATCTTCATTATTTAGACCAGAAAATGTGCATGTGGAAGCATCTAAATCTGGAAAATTAACGACAAGTTAGTATATTTTTGTTTATTATAATGCAATGACATATTTTCGGCATTATCAATTTAAATATTTCAAAGTGAAATGAAATGTTTACCGTAGTTGGTTTTGCATTAATGAATGAAGTTTGAGCTAAAATCAAAAATGGCATTAAACGGGCATTTTAGCGTAAAATATTTGCAAATTCTGGATATGGATATGGGCTCTCGCGTGATCCAGGGTACGAGATCTACTCCTATCTTTACACACGTAGGATGCCCTAGATAGTAACGGATAAACTTTTGGCTAATCTCAAATTAATTTTTATTATTTAGAGGAGTAAACGCATTCTTTCCTTTCTCTCGTCGTAGACACAGAATCCAACTTTTGGAAGTGATACCCTCGGAGCTAAAAGCGATCTAAGAGTATGTTCTTCACTAACCTCTTTCAGTACTTTGGCGGTATTATACTGGCTGATCCTAGTATAAGTGCTAAGAAACTTAGAATTTTGTAAGGTATATCAGTAGCTAGCGCTGAGACCGCAAGGTTTTAGTGTTGGCATTCGTGAGCCTCGTTAGCCACATGCGAATCTAAATTTTGATTTATAACTTCAACAAATTACGATTCCATATTAAGCAAGTTAGTCTTAACATTGTGTTTGTTTGCTTCCAGCCCTTAAGCACAAATTTTTAGTTTACTGTCGTCTGCATAAACCTTTGGATACTAGTTATTGCTTTAAATAATATTTATTAAAATGTTGACGTCTGTCTTCTACACATAACTAGTTTTAAATTACCTTCAGCAATTGAACTTATAAAATACGTTTTATCTAAGTAAGTAACGCGTACCTTTCTTATGGACAATGAGTTCCGACCATTTTTATTGAAACTTCGCAAAATGATAGTTCTCAAAAGGCTAATCATAAGTCTTAATCATGAAAGATCCGTTAATAACCATGTATCTGAATTTCCAAATCATATTCATGATTCGAATCATAATAATCGTGTAGCATTTATCTACGTGGATGGTACATATCTGTAGGTGAAAAAAAGTAGTAATTGTCGAATAATTTTTGTAAAACCTGCTTTATCAGTGGCATTAAATCGATACATTCTTGATGTTCAAGGTCCTTATTTCGCTTATAATGCTAATAACGATGCTGCTATTTTGCTAAAAGAAATGCAAAAGAAGATAACATAGCTGAATAGTTTAGAGAAAATAATATTGCTATACTTGATCGTGGTTACAGGGACATTAATGATTTTTTAGAAAACATTGATGTGATAGTAAGAATTCCTTTCTTACTTGAAGAAAATTAGAAACAATATAGTACCGAAGATAGGAATGCAGCTAAATTAATAACTAAAACGCGATGGATAGTAGAATCATGAAATGGACACTTAAAAAGTACATTTATGTTTTTTAAAAATGTAATATCTATCAATCATGCAAAAAACTTGAGAAAATATTTAAAGGCTTCTGCCACACTTATTAATAGGTACAAAAGATTGATTTATATGGATGATGTTAATGTGCAATATACCGAAAACTTGCTTGTTTAATACTTAGAACTGAATATAATGCAAGCTAGAGTTGAAGTAAACAATACATTACGATCAAGAATTTCCGGATAGGAACATCTAGATGAATGTACATTTTCTAATTTCTCTCACTTTGATATAAGTTACTTCGAAAATATTACTGTTGAAGTTTACCAACTCGGGTTAGCTCCAGCATATGTTCAAAATAAGATTGCGAGAAATGACGAAGACGAAGAAGTTTTCAATTTAATTACCGACTCAGAGAACCAGGAATGACTAGAGTAAGGGTCTTCTCACGATTCTCGAGAAGTACCAAACAGCAGTTCTGGATATCATATCCACAAGATGAAGAAATGATCCAAGACGATGAATATGAAGAACAAATCTTACATTATTATTACACATGTAAAGTTGTAGTGCAGATATTAGGATATTGTGCTCATGTAACAGCGGTAGTATAGTTCCTTGGATATACTCGTCACTTTCCAATTTGGATACATAAAAAATGCAAGAAGCGATTAGTGACACATGCACGTGCGCACGCACCCACTCACATTAACAGCACATGTGAGCGGCAAGGGAACTCATATAAAACAAGCACCCTGAAGGATTGAGAACTCGCCATGTCCACGTCGTTCAATCTGGGTAACGCTAAGAGCGAGAAAACTAGTGCTTCTGGTTTAAAGATGTTTCTTTTAAATTAAATTTGAAACAAGATTTTTCCGTTAATACTGCAGTCTGCTATTTGATTCTTATAATCGAATTGTACAATACAACCCAATTAGCGATGACATCATAGCTTGCTTAATGTTATAAAATTTTCTCAATAAAAGGTAAAAGAATAAAAATAATTATACATTAGACTAAGAATTCTAAATAAAAAAATAGAAATATTTGTATCCAAAGGAATGTTTATTTATTCGATTCTCAATTCTTCAAAACTAATCCTGTAGCGTTCAGAAAGATCTAACGATAGACGTTGCAAATATATCAGAGAGGGAAAGAGAGAGTGAGAAAGAGAGAGGGAGAAAGCATTCATACTCTATAGAGACGCGAGAACCTAAAAATTGTAGTATATCGCTTAGTTCACATATAGAGCAGCATGCAATAATATAACGAAAACGCTAGCCGAACACGCGCCAGCAGCCCCTTTATCCTGAAACATATATAAATCCTTGTATACTGTCCTGAAACATACATTGCCTATCTACTTATGTTTTTTAAATACTGTAATACCTAAGTCAATGTCTTTTATAATATAAATTAATAAAGTAAAAATTTATTTCATTATGAACAGCAATAAATAAAATGTTTGAATTTGATTCAACAGTTTCATCATTTATCGTCATAAAACATACATTTTTCATCTCTAAGGCATTTACAGTTCAAACAGAGAAATATCTACAGTATATAAAAATCAGTAAATTTATGTATATAAACTAGCATTATGTATATTACATTAGCGGAAAAAATATCGCGCATCGGTTAAAGCTCGTTAACCTTTTCCGACTTCAACTGGGTCACTTGATCGATATTGGACATTCTATAATGTGCAGAACAGTATCTTAACGTAAAATTAGTATAATTGAAAAATACTTTGGCAAATTTTTATAAAACGATGAGAAATGCAAGAATGCAAAAATTTATAGAGTGCAGTACATAGCACTCCATTTCATTGGTTTCCTGACTTTTGTAAATAATAGAATATTTCTGCATTAAACTCAATTAAATTACAAGCTTCCCGTCTAAATAGAACGAATAACTTATGTCCAAAGAAAATAAGTAACATCACCGTAAAGGTGCGCATTATCGTCATTATACACGAAAAGTTTTTACTCTTCTCAGACAAATATATGTATGTAAAGCTAAATTTAGTAGACATGACGGTTTGCTAGTAAATAGAGAAAAACGAAATGAATTTGCACGAAGTAAATTCATGTTTTGTCTAGAAATACAAAATTTCCCTTATAAATTTTAGCTTATAAAGTAGAAGTATTAGACGATATTAAAGATATTAGCTTCTTTTACCAGCTTCAATTGCAGAATTCATATTAGTAAATGACAATCAGCAAACAAAAAATAATGATTATTTCTTGTTTTCTATATGCTCTAACGAATGGTACAATATAAGTAAGAAACTAAATAATTTCGTTAATAAATAACATTCACATTTTTTAAATTAACTTCAGCTCTTACTTTGACTTACTTTAAACTACTTTGATTTGAATGATTATTTCAAAATAATTCAATACAAAATTTATTTGTTTGTACATGTCAATATTTCAATCCTAAAATATATTATGCCATTGCAGTATATGAAGGTATCTGAAATTTTTCTATTGTAGTTACAAATTACTTCAATCTTTTGTTTTGAAAAATCTGATATATAATGATCTCATGAGATCATTTTAGTCGAAATAGTTCTGGAAAAGGATGAAATATTAGTGACCTTTGGTAGCTTCTTTTGCAGCTTCCCTTGTAGCTTCTTTAGCTGCCATTATCAATGGTGTTAACGAAGCTAATGGCCTTGCTAATTTTAAGAAAGGGTGCTGTAAAATATACAATAAATTAATCATCATTTATATCTGAATAATAATAACATATTCTACTTCTCTGTTACATAAATATATTACCTTTAATAAATCAGATGCTGCATATCGTTTTTCGACTTCTACTTCCAAGCATTTATCTAAAAAATCTTGAAAGTTATTCGATAATTTATGTTTTTCTTTGATATCTGGTTTTCCGTTTGTTGCTATTAGGTAAAGTGCTCGTAAAGGATTTTCATTTAGATATGGCGGCTCCCCTTCTATCATTTCAATAGCCATTATTCCGAGTGACCATATATCGACCTACAATATTGCGTGGGATTAATTACGAAAAATTTATTTATATCAATGTATAAAAAAATCAAATATCAAAATATCAAAAATAAAAAAATCTCAGATATAGAAGTGAAAGTGACAAGCGTTAAACATCAATTGAAAATTATTACATCAATGAAACTTAAATAATGTCCATATAGAAATATTAGGTCAGTAAATGAATTATTTTCACCATAGATCCATACAAGTTTGATTTATTTGAAATTACTGATTTCTAGGTGTTACGTGACGCTTCATTGTATTATTTTTTTAATTTTTGTCAAATAATATTTCGGACCCGAGACTTCCGTTCGGACATAGTATAATCAGTAGTATTCGTGTGCGCGACTCGGTGGGAACGTGCGGCAGAGGCTGATTCACGCTGCGCCAGCATGCTGCGACGGCATGCTTCGGTCAGCGTGCTTAGCTAGGTAAGACGATCCGATACGAGAAGCGTAAACGTTTAAAGTATATGTGCGAGAGAGAGACGAAAAGCGAGGGACAAAAGATATATAACGAACCGGCGTAAACAACGAAACCAATCCTTAGTCAGTCAGGAATCAGCGCTCGACTAAGAGCTCCCTGCAAGAGTTTGAGAATATTATAATAAAATTATATCGAAGTGCCGAGTATCGTTATTTTTAACGACCTTTTATTTGCTATTGGAATACCATTGGAATACTATTGGAATACTATTGGAATACTATTGGAATATCATTGGAATATTATTGGAATATTATTGGATAAAGAAAATATATTGGACCAGCTTATTGAATTAATTCGAAACCAGTAATTACCTATAAAACGAACCTAACAATATCTCGGACCTAGACGACAGAGTGAGTACTTTTGAGCTCTATCCTCGATAAGGTGAAATCTCTTCCTTATCGTAATTTTATTCTCTCTCTCTCTTCGCTCTAATATTACTAAGCATAATCAAGGTTCCCCTTTCGGTGAATCCACGTGATTGCGTACCGGGACCAAGTGTGTAAACACCGCTGACCGCGTAAACTAAAATATTTATTTTAATAAATCGCGAACCGCATAGTAGCGCGATATTATTATTAGAAGTATTATTCGACGTACTAATATATATATATAAATAAACTTATCTAACATACCGGCGTAAGTTCATTTAAGTCAATCGGCGAAGCCCCCCCCTCCCTTTTTCGCCTGATTACTCCCGCCTGGCTCTCGCAAGGACGAACTCCGGATATTATCGGTGAAGACGCGATCCATTCGGTGACACGGTCGGGGTACCGTACTGAAGGCCTAGTCCACCCGAGCTAGGACCACTCGGAGCTAAAACGGTCTAACACGCGCCAGTTTTGAAGAGACATCAAAACTGGCACGTAACACTAGGTTATACCTAAAACCATATACAAATTTTTTTTAAAATTTCTAAGGAGAGAATCGTTTTATGAATTTGAAATTCAGTCTATGAATCTGTTTACTAATTCTTTCTGTGGGAAAAAAGACACAATTACTCTGGTTACTAATAATAAGTAACATGCCGGTTGAGTAAGTGACGACGTCCACGTGTGAGAGAGAAAAATCACTCTGACAATTACAACCAAAACAAAAACCATTTATTGCTGACCATTACAAGAATCAAACCGATGATACCGCGTGACCCCAAAGGTAGTTCAACTGCCTCAGATCGGTATGAATGTACGCTCACACAGCAGTTCACCCTTTCTGTCTTGACCGCAATTACATCAATCGCGGCCCTAATGTTCACGATTGGGACGCGGAAACTTGAGTTAGAGAAAGAGAAAAAAAGAGAGAGAGAGAGATAGATAGCTCATGTTGCGATTATTGTTGCTTCTACTGCTATTGCCATTGCTGCTGCTAATACTTATGCTATCAAGTCTTTGCTAAGTAGATTACTGGAACGTTAGTGGTCACGCGTTGGCAAAGCCGCTGCATAAGTCGAATGCGATCCGATTTACCAAACCAGCGTAACATCAAAGAAAACTAAAATAGCGAAGTGGCACACGGCACTGAGGGAAGGTATTTCAAAGATAGCTGTTGATAGGCCGATGTTTCACTAATGTAAAAAGAAACCGAACGCATGGCCAGACACTCGTATGCATTTAACGCTGGTTTTCTTACGGCCGCCTATGAATAAGAGCATAATGCAGCTCTCATATGCGCTCGCTCGTTTCCAAGTTAAGCTCATCTATCTCTTTCTATCTTTATCAACGCACATTATGGCTCGCCAAGAATACACCGCTCTTTTCTTCCGACTCTCTAAATCAGCACCTCAAATGAGATCAGCATGAGCGGTATGCTCTTGCATGTACACATGCAGTCGGTCAGATGGTACACGCAGACACCGTGAGGTACTGGGCGGAGGAAAAATCGCGGATAAAGCGGTTTTCCTTGTGTCAAATTATTAAAAAACCATGATATACGTATATATTTTACATATAATTTTTATTTCATCTAGGATCTACAGTATCGGCTATTAATTCCATAGATCTGCAAAATAATAGGTTGTGATTGTTGTCGGCAAATAGAGGATCATTTCCGAAGTAATTTTTTGCGTAGAATTCGAATCCGGAGTCATAATTTGTCTATTACGTCAAATTTTTTAGATATCCTAACCTAAAGGAGCAAAAACAGCGGTTATCTGGTATATTTGAAGCTTCGTAATATCGCAGAAAATTTTTTTTTCTAAAAATAGAGAAAATTATCTGAAAAGTATGCTCTTTCTCTTTAAAATCCATATTCAAGATTTAAGATTTTTTTTTTTTCTTCGAGATATCGTTAATTGAAATCAATTATGTTAATAGTTTCAAAACAGCTCATTCCCCGAATATGCACACATATATGCAAGGCTATAATCCCAAACATTTATATCCTAGTTTCCTCAATTCTCTAGCCCTGTATGACGCTCAAACCCTAGATCATAATACCCTAATTTCCTCAACCTTCTAGCTCTGTAACTTATGACGCTATAACTCCAGATCCTTATACCCTAATTTCCTTTACCCTCGAGCCCTGTAATCTGCGATGCTAGAATTCTTGATTTCAATGAACGATACATTGATAAAAAAAAGGCATTTCAAATCTTAAAAATTAATTTTAAAGAGTAAGAGTAGATCTTTTAGATGGTTTTTCTTATTTTAAGAAAAATATTTTTTCCACGATGATACAAAACTTCAAATATACCAAAAACCGCCTTTTTGCACTTTTAGGTTAAGATATATAAAAAACTTAACGTGACTCCGGATTCCATTCTAAGCGAAAATTTACATAGGAAATGACCTATTAGCCAACAACGAGATTATGGAGATCTTTGTTATGGACGGGTAGTCCATTTTTCCCTACAACTTCTAACAACTATATTTTCTGAAATATTTGTTGTAACAATTTTTTGAAAAATTCATTCGACTATATTAGTAAAAATTTTTGATTCTCGTTCACTGATTAAATATTTATTTAATTATTAAATATATATAAATGTAAATAACAATGTAAATAAAAAAATGTAAATATATAATTATTAAATATATATATATATTAAAATAGGAATTCTGTTTGAAGCAGTGGAGGTGGTAAGAAGAAGAAGTAGTAGAAGCTTAGCCATGCCAACTATAAGAGACAACAGGAGATCTCACTCCTCTTCTAAGTATGTATGGTTTGCGAAGAAAGTTAAAATACATCATCTTCCATACGAAGAAAAAGACTCTAGAAAAGGTATTTGGGAGCAGATAGCAGGAGATCACGAACGTTTCCAAAGACGTATTGCTGAATTGAATAAAGTTATATCACGAGTATTACTCAAGAAACGTATATTGATGATGAATCAAATGCTTGGTCCTATATTAGAAAATCATCACACTATATATATATATTAAATAAAATGGATATCTAATATAAAGTAGAGGGAGGTGGTTGTGGCGGCTAGAAAATCAAAGTAGTGGGGAGAGGTTTTAAAAGAGCTGTGAGCCTCGAGGAGCTTCATTCTGTCTCAAAAATAGAGTAGTAGTAGCAGAAGCAGTAGCAGCAGCATCATCATCAGCACCAACAGCAGCGAGAGCAGTATTAGAAGTAGTATTAGAAGAAGAATACGTAACATTCTAGATCTCTTTACTTACAGCAAGATGAATTTTGAAATGTTGAAAAACTTTGTATTGATGCTTTTCGATATACTTCCTGAAAATAGTCATTATGAATTGCATGAAGATGAGAATTATCTACTAACATTAATGAGAAAAGATGAATCTCGAATTATTCTTGAACTCGATTGTGAGTTCGAAATTGTTCTACCGGACCGAATGTCAAGAGCGATAATTCATCATTTGGATCTTTTTATTTATCTTTCTGATAGAGTACACAAATATGCATTATTTATTCAATATCATGGATATGATCCATTTCAATTTAATATTAAGTAAATGCATTTGTATATCTTATTATATCTCAATAAAGATTGTATTATATAAATTTATTTTCAGGAGAGATAAATGAGTCATTAGTGTTTCTATTAAAGCAGGTTTCGACTTGTCTTAATGGACTCACTAGTGTCGAATATAAAAAATGGAAGTACCTCACAGGTAAGAGCGAAGGTTGGGGCTCTTATCCTTAAAATAAAAAAAAAACAATGTAATATTTATAAATGAAAACAAATATTTATTTATATACAAGCTATATACATATAAATTTATATTTGTAATTGATTGTAATATAGTCTCCTTATTTATCCAAGAATTGTGAGTATTATCAAAGCCAAGCCATTTTACGAAAACTTCATTACCCCGTCTTCTGAGAATTTTTTCTACAAGATAGATATCAGGATCCATAGCTTTCTGTAGTTCTTGCTCATAAAAATCACCAACAATGGGATTTTCTTGATAATCTAGTAGGTGATATGTTACAGGTTTAGTTCTCGAAATACCATGAACAGTAAAAATTTCTGTAGACCAATTAGGCGTATATCCTATTACAAAAACGTGTTTAGACTTGCTCACTCGCACTTT